TCATATATAATAAAACCTCCTAATTACAGACAGGCAGTGAAAATTGCATGAAAATGTGCCCATTAAACGAGTATATGTCGACTATACTAGGGTCAATTGAAAAGTCCCCGGCCTGACACATAGATGGCGGCACCAGAACTAAATCCATATGATTTTCAGTTAGTCCTAACCTTCAAAAGACGCGTCTATAAATTTGACGGCTGTCGGATCATTAGTTTGTGAATTATAGCATTTTTAGTGAAGCAACTTTTGTTATTGTGAAAAAAATGAATAAAAAGGAATTTCGCGTGTTGATAAAATATTGCTTTTTGAAGGGAAAAATACAGTTGAAGCAAAAACTTGGCTTGATAACGAATTTCCGGACACTGCCCCAGGAAAATCAACCATCAAGGATTGGTATGCTAAGTTTAGATGTGGTGAAATGAGCACCGAAGACGGTGAACGCAGTGGACGCCCAAAAGAGGCTGTTACGGACGAAAACATTAAAAAAATCCACAAAATGATTTTGAATGACCGTAAATTGAAATTGAATGAAATAGCAGACACTCTACAGATATCAACGGAACGTATACATCACATCATTCACGAATATTTGGGTACGAGAAAGCTCTGTGCAAAGTGGGTGCCGCGCGGGCTCACTTTTGACCAAAAACAACGACGAGTTGATGATTCAAAGCAGTGTTTGAAGATGATCACGCGTAATAAACCCGAGTTTTTCCGTCGATATGTGACAATGGATGAAACATGGCTCCATCATTTCACTCCGAAGTCCAATCGACAGTCATCGGAGTGGACTGCACACGATGAACCCGCTCCAAAGCGTGCAAAAACGCAACAGTCGGCTGGCAAGGTTATGGCGTCTGTATTTTGGGATGCGCGTGGAATAATTTTCATTGACTACCTTGAAAAAGGAAGGACCATCAACAGCGACTATTACATAGCGTTATTGAACCGTTTGAAGGACGAAATCGCCGAGAAACGACCGCATTTGCAGAAAAAGAAAGTCCTGCTTCACGAAGACAATGCACCGTCTCACAAGTCAGTAAAAACGATGGCAAAAATTCATGAATTGGGCTTCGAATTGCTTCCGCATCCACCGTATTCTCCAGATCTGGCCCCCAGCGACTACTTCCTGTTCTCAGATCTCAAAAGAATGGTCGTTGGGAAAAAATTTTCGTCGAATGAAGAGGTGATCGCCGAAAGTGAGGCCTATTTTGAAGCAAAGGACAAATCGTACTACAAAAACGGTATCGAAAAGTTGGAGGATCGCTATAATCAGTGTATCACCCTTGAAGGGAATTATGTTGAATAAAAAAACCGAATTTTGCAAAAAAAAATGTGTTTTACTATTTTAGGCCGGGGACTTTTCAATTGACCTGTTATAACTGAGTAATGTAACATTTGCTCTGTTGTTTTCCATTGGTTTCAATAGCAAAAGTGATTAGACTAATGACCGCCGATTATTAATCGAGATATTTATAATTAAAACAAAAGAAATACCCCTAATCCTATCTAATATTATAAATACGAATGAGAGCTTTTTTGTTTGTTTGCTGTTATTTTACCCCTTAACTACTCAACCTATCATGATGAAACTTTGTAGACACATTGTCAGGGGTACCTTTTATCCAGAAAAGATACTGCTCCTGAAAGATAGAAGAATTTGCTTTATGTGGTCGTCGATGATCATTAATACGTAGTTAGGACATCAACGCGAGTGAAGCTGCAGGTAAAACCTATCATGAAATTTTGTACACATATTGTCAGGGGTGCAAAAAAGGACGTAGGGTACTTTTTATCCTGAAAAAGAATACTGTTCCCGAGGATAGAAAAATTAGTTTTATATGGTCGTCGACGATCTTTGCCAAAGTGAGCGAAGCCGCTGGTTAAAACCTAGTAATTTGATAATTTCCCTCTGCTCTGTCTATGGAAATTCGCTCGTTTTATTTATTTTTTAGAATATATCGTGGCAAATGGATGCTGAACCCTCCATCGTGTGTGTAATCGGCCATCTATTGACCGCCCGTTATCAGTTTTCATCCGATATTGCCAATATTTATTGTCTTTAAACTTTTAATCTTGATTATTATTCATTCAAACAAGATTCAGTTCGAGTACATTTCCAAGATTTTTGACATTCTTCGGAGGTGGTTGACACAAAGAAAAGGGAAAGTTGTGACACCGTCATTTCGATTATGTAAAATGCATACTGACGACAAGTATATTGGTTGTTCTTACACATTTTTCGTATTTTATTTGACTTTTATTGAAAGTGATTAGGACAAGCTGAAGTCAATGCTCAGTAGTATATAAATATATTTGCGTGTACGTGTATGTGTTTGAATGGTTTGAACACATAGATAAATACATGTGAAAGTATCACCACATACGCCCTTAGTTTAGTACCTACTGAAAGCTTATCTTTGTTGTCGTAGGAACCCTATGCCGTGAGTTCCCATACTAATCTAACACGGTTGGATTGCGATTTTTGTTCGTATTTGTTAGCGTGCAATAGTGCAGGTGTTCTTTACGATCATTTATTGCCCAGTAAAGTTCACGATACAATACAGCTTTGTTTTTAAAATTTTACATGAAAGGGATGCCATTGCCGCGGAACGGAACGGTCGGAGGAGCTATAACGAATTATTAAAGTAGTAGTTTTGCTGATTTTTTATTTACGGTTAAGTGACAGTAAATTTTATATTACTTAATCAGTAGTTAAAAACGTTCATTGACAGTAAAAAAAGGCTTTTTAGTTGAGTTTAGTGATGGACAAAGCAAGACCAAGACCAATGCTGTCCCTTTTCGTCTTGGTTTTGTTCAAATACTTTTAGTTTTGGTTTTGGTCATAGTTTTGCTGATATAGTCCCGGTTATGGTCTTTGTCTTGCTGATGTAGTCTCGGTCATGGTCTTTATCTTGATGATATAAGTTTCGGTCATGGTCTTTGTCTTGCTGATATAGTCCCAATCATGGTCTTTGTCTTCCTGATATACTCCCAGTCATGTCTTGCGATATAATGTTGATCTGGATCTTGGTTTTGCGAGCACAATAATTGTCTTAAATGCTGAAATTTTCTGTTATTTATGCAGGTATGTCATGACTTTTGAAGAAAATAGTACGATAGTTGTGAGAGTCATGAAAACTGGAGAACGTATCCTTCCTACAACGCATAAATTGTCCTTTTAGCAAGAAAAGGAGTGCAAGGTACTTGAACGAATTTAAAATATCAAAAAAAAATGTTGGTCTCTGTAATTCCAGACATAGGAACAAAGAACACTTACTTCGAGGACATTTTTTTTTTCTTAAGCAGTGGTAAAGTTTCTTTCTTTTTATATTTAGTGTTAAAAATTAATACAACATACTAAATACGTTTTGTTCTAAGAAAAGTATATATTAAAGTCGCTTCAGATAGTTTAACTCATAAATCCAAGTAATAATTATTCGTTTAGTCTAGTGTATTTGTTCTTAGCTTTGCACATTTGGTTTTGGTTTTAGACTTGATGTTGTTGGTTCGGCCTTAGTCTTACTAGTTTAAAGACAGTCTTGGTCTCACATATAGAACGCATTGCAACAAATTAGTTACTTATGACACATTCGCCTTATTTTTGAGTATGTACATTTAAGATTGAGCTAAGCGATGTTATGATTTCTTATTGGACTGATTCGCACAGATTATGACAAATTTAATCTCTGAATAATTTTACAATAATTAATTTCTACATTCATGCCTTCTTCTGTGTCCTCTTTACAAACAATCCCTTATCAATGGCATGCTGATGGCGTTGCAGCTATTTATTAGAATTCAGCTTAATAAATCTCTCCCCGGTCCGTAAATCCCCTCTAATGATCATAGAGTAAAAATAGTTAGGTAATTGTTTTTCTTATGTAGCCTTTATCTATGTTTACTGTTCAAAAGATAGGCATCTAAACCACTTAACGGAGGTCAAATATACATCGTCTGAAGTAACAATTTTCCGCGCAACTATCTCCATTATTATCTCCATTGTGTGTAAATTGTAGCCTTTAAGAAAATATACGAGCGTGTCGCTTGGTGTCATAAGATCCTTTTTTTTTGTTTTTAAAAAATTTTTGCTAATTGTGATTTATTATTGAGGTGAAATATTCTTTTCTTCTCACGTAATAGATCGCGATGAGAACAGGATAAGGAGCAAGATTTACAGTTTTATGTTTTTAAGATTATTTACAACACATTTGAATTAATGTAGTCTGCTAATTTTGTAACTTACTTCATCCATTGAGAAGGGTATCTGAGCGTTAAAATTTTAAAAAAGATTCTTCAGAAAATTGATAGAGTTGGCCTCTACTATCTGAAAGTTGATCATAATGATATTTTAGAACAAACAGAATAGCTCAAAACCCCAACGCCAAAACAAGACACTGTAGTTGTCCGAAGCACTTTTCGGTAACAAAGTTACCTTCTTCAGGGACTGAAGTAAACTAGTGTGANCTCGGAAACAGTTTTTTTTTTTGGATAAAAAGTACCCTATATCCTTTTCTGTATCCCTGACAATGTGTGTATAAAATTTCATGATCATCGGTTGAGTGGTTAAGGCGTGAAATAGTAACAAATAAAAGATAACAAATACTTTTCCAAACGTATTTTCTATTTGTAAAATTAAAAATACATTTTTGCCGTTGAATTCAAGGGACTTAAATTTAACGTTGCTATAGCAAAATGGTCACCATAACCAAGGTCGTAATAAACGAAATCCACTGTATTGAATTGTAATTAATTATTGGTTGGCGAATTTTTAATGAGAGGGTTGAATCGAAATCGTTGAAACGAGCCTATAACGTTTATAGACACTAAAAGTATGCAAGGTGATAAACTCATCATCGTTAATCATAATCTGTCATTATCTTATATTAAAAAAGTTCTGGACGGCCGGATCGAAACTGGGTATCTAGCCCATTACTTTAAATATTCAGTAAGTCTCCAATTTTGGTATTTTCTTCAGTTGGTATATTTTGTTTCAGGTTCTTATAATAAGAAGCCAGTCGAAATTCAAACTCCTAAGCGCATCACGGACCTTCCAGAAAAACTGCTTATGTCTGGCATCAACTTGCCTGGTAAGTTTAATATTATAATTACTAACGATGCACTTGCACCATATTTAGATACTGTTTTTATTATTTTTGGTGTATACTTTTAAAATTTCAAAATTAAATGAAAACGTTTTAATTGCTGTAGTTTTTTATTTTATTTCCTGTGCACGTATTATTGTGTGTTGCAAGAGAGATTGTAATAATGTAATTACCATCAAAGGTAGGTATCAGCACATTTCTTTTAAAACGAAATTCGCATAAAACCTCAACAGATTTAATTTTCACTTTTCATCATTTTCGAAATTAATCTGTTCAGATAGGATTGTAAAAGATTAGTAGTAGTAGTAAAATTATTCATAGTTATATAAAAAGTGTTATTTTTGTTGATATTTTTACAGTAGTAACTTGTAGAAATAGAAGTTAGTATGAACAATAAGTTTGTATACAATTTAGTTCAAATGCCTTAAATTAAGTTTTTTTGAACAGTTTCTTGTTCACTCTTCCAAATATTTACTGCTTGCAAGTGAGGCAAGACAAGATGAGACCACACGTTAGAGAGCATTATTGTACCTGTTTTATGTAGGGAGATATTTTTTATTGAGTGCATGAACTCCCATTTCTTATGCCGGTTAGAAAAAGTTCTGACTTGCAGATGGCGTGATTTTATGTCGGGAGTTGTGATATAAATTGTCGCACCAACAACTACATAATAACGTTAATGAGACAAGACTAAACGCTGTCATGCATCACGTAATAACACTTCCGGAAGTGGCAAATATTACGTGCTACACATAGAGTGGGCGATGAAAATGTCAATAACGGAATCTAGTTACTCTTTAAAATTAATCGGATCGCGATTTTGATCTTATAAGATCTCATCAGCAGTATTTATCGAGAAATCGAAGAAGCTTCTAAAGAACAAGTTTATGTAATATCCAAATAGAGGTATTGTATCGCCATCTATCTATTTATCTGAACTTGCCTAACTAAGTCAATAACGTAGCTTACGTTCCTGATAAGCACGTAGTTAAATTAATTAATAATAATGTTTAAATTATTAGTTCGAAATGGTGAAATAAAAGATAAAAATAGCGATCTGCGCCTAGCATCTTTAAACATCTTGAACCACTTTATCAGGCGAAAGCTCCAGCTTTTTATCCCTTGATTGAGAGCTTTTTCAAAGGAATTGTCTAGTTAAAAAATAAATTACAAAAGTTCATGTACAATATTTGATCAGGGAGATAATCGAAATTAATATAATAAGTAAAATGTTTAATTAGTTAGGATAATACGTGATGCCCAAATTAAATGTTAATATTTCCTATAAGGTTGCTTTATTTCCATATTTATTTATAGATAGTGTACTTTTAATTATCTAATTTCCATAGTAAGCACCTAATTAACACTATTAAAATTCATTCTTTAATTAAATTAGTACTTAGTAGGTAAAAATAGGTCATTACTCCTTCTACACACATTTTTATACTATAAAAGGAATTCCTTATACGAGAACTGTTGATTAAAGTTCATTTTGACCTAGATCAGGCCTTTGAACATCAATAAAATTTATAATACGAAGTGGGTAGTTATGGTCGTTGTATCAAGTGTCATTTTTATTATTACTACGAATACGCTTCATTTTAATTTAGGAGAAATTTTATGTTAGACTGGAATTGTTAATAATTTCAAATTATAAAAGAAGCCGCTTCGAACGCTTTATGTGGAATATAAACCAACTTGATTCATGGTAACGGTACGGCTAGACTATCGGTATCTTTGCTTTAATGTAGGTAGTAATAAACTGAAAGTTTTTTTACTATTTTTTGACAGCACACTTTAATGTGTAAAAGGTAGTTAATTTAATTGAAAATAGTTATTTTATAATTTTTATGGTGCTATTTTTTTATTGGACTCTGATAAAGTTCATTTCCTGATGTTAAAGAACGATTCGAATGTACCTGATGCAGTATATAATTTTACAATAAAATATAATATGCAATTACAAGAAAAATGAGTTTACTTGGGTACACAAAAGATCAGGGACGGTTTTATAACTGCCGGGTTAGGATTATAACTTTAAACGAGCGTCTTGCTTTAAAAATCACTTCTAAGTCAATTAAAATTCGTTGTAACGAAATACTCCGTGTGGATCGTTGTAAGTTGTACGTTTTAAGTACCCACGAAGTAATCTTGCAATGTAGAGGGTCCGAAAATCATCTGTCCCACACAATATAGTTTCGTTTACGTTAATTTCCTAAATACGTGTCAAGGATCATAGACAATACAATAGTTTGATAAATAGTCCTTATCAAAATCACCAGGATAAAACTAAAATAAATAAAGTTTCTAATTTTCTAAGTTAAGCATATATTTTGCGTAGAATTACAGTAAACACTGTCCTTCTTTAACTACATGAAGAGAAATATTTTTCAATCCCTCGGAAACAGTTTTTTTTTTTGGATAAAAAGTACCCTATATCCTTTTCTGTATCCCTGACAATGTGTGTATAAAATTTCATGATCATCGGTTGAGTGGTTAAGGCGTGAAATAGTAATAAATAAACAAACTCGCATAGTACCTACATTCACTTTTGTCATTAAAATATTGAAACATTGCATGCTCGTTTTTCTCGGGATTGAATACATCCAAAGACCTTTAGAACCATATAAGATTGTTGACTGATAATTCAAGTTCAAAATTGGTCAGGAAGGTTTTAAAACCTGATGTCCCAGTAGCACAAGTATAAATGCGAAAACAAATTTGAAACCTTAAGAACTACAGATGGCGTTTACCTCGCGATTTGTGGTATTTTCTAAAACGTGGTAAAAGTTGGTCTGTGTGCTGTCGGAGCTGTCTGCGACTCGCTGATGAGATCCAAATAGGTCGAAATCGCGATTCGCGTCTGGCAGTTTCGACAGAATACAGACCACTTCGAATTATTTTATTCGATTAAGCTAACGTGCCTATCACGTTGAGGATGGCTACGCCGGGATTCGTTTCAGCAAGTAGATATCCATATATTTAAATGGACCTTGTTGGAACATACGTAATCCTAAAATGTAGCATCGCACTACAGATGGCGTTTACCGCGCCATTTGTGGTATTTTCCGTAAGAAGTTGATACACTTTTTTTCAGTTAATTAACATATTGATAATTGCATCGTAGCGTATAGCGCCCAGATAAAGATCTGACCTTCCACCCCTTTAAATTCTATTAATGAAAGGTTAAAGTCACTGAACGTATGCACCTATTTGCGCTTATACGTCCAGCTCAAGTTTCTTCAGCACATCTTCGTTTATTGCACTCACACGCACCCGTATTGTTTAACTATGTATACGGTGATTGACGCCACTGTTATGTTTTTAGCATAATTAATAAGGTGCTTTGCTAATTAGACTCGCTCCCATCTCCCGGTGTAATGACCACTTATGCTTATTGCCGAGTTTGTTGAGCTGATTACTATCGCGGTATCCTTGAACGATGTTGTTTACGTAGTAGACGTCTGTATCAGAAGGAGTATGCCATTGAGGTTTTATTACAATTAGCGTACGTTTCGAATGGATACCCTGTCAATTACTTGCCGGCTTGCATAATAAATCAGTTTTTATTGTTCCGTACTTTTTACTTAAAAAAATTATGCCGCGCCCCATAAATTACGCTTTATTTGAAAAAAGTAATTTGCTTACCTGTAAGTGCATTCTTGAACTTTCGAACCAAAAAATCCATTCGAAAATTGTTGTGAACATCATAAGGTCGTTAGTCTTAAGACGGTTGGACAGGCACCTCCACTCTTCCCTATCCTGAGTTAATCTTCGCGATTCCCTAAAACTAGAACATCCCACATCCTTAACTATTTCTGAACAGTAACCTAATCTGGGTCTACCTCTACTCCTCCTAACTCCTGTTTCTGCCTCTAATATGTCTCTTACTAATCCATCATGCTTGATAAGGTACCCTACTAACCCATCTCGCCTATTTCTTGTTGACTTCCCTAGAGTCCTCTGTTCTCGTATTCTTTCTAACACCACTTCATTTCTATCCTTCTCTATCCACGATATCCTTATCATATGCCTGAAACACCATACTTCGAACGCTTCTAACCTTTTGCGCCACGTCCACCATCCATGTCTTGCACCCGTATAACGCCGTGCTCCAGACATACTTCTTTTCATTGAAAGCGACTTGACCCCGCGTTGTCCTCTGTTTGCTCTCTCTCCCTTTATTTATTTGACTTCCTAGATACCGAAAATTAGCCGCATCTTCTAATTTTTCGTCTAATATCATTATAGTCAGAGACATATTAGAGGTAGAAACGGGAGTTAGGAGGCGTAGAGGCAGACCTAGATTAGATTACTGATGTTCGCAAATAGTTAAGGATGTGGGTTTTTCTTGTCTTAGGGAAATGCGAAGATTAGCTCAGGATAGGAAAGATTGTTCATCAATATATGTTCTTTGAAATGAGTTTGAAATAAATTTACAGGAGCATGTCTGTCAAGAACACAAACAAATATTGCAGTTAATAGAAACGATTTCGAGTTATAGAACTTCCAGTGTATTTCAATCCAATTGAAACTAAATCCATCTGAAAATGTAAAAACATATTGGGAAATCCAAAGCCAAACATAGTTCCTTTGCACCCTTCTAATGTTTTTTGGGTTCAAGAAAATACCAAATAATAAAATATAATAATACGTGAAAATCTACAAAGTTTTGGTGTAGATAAATATTAAAATATGAACGCAGAATTAACATTGAATTTAATGACGTAATGAGGATGTTTCTTTAGTTTAGTAAGTTTTCAAAAATGAGACAGGTCTTGGGACATAATCGATTAAATATCTTAGACTAGTTTGATTATTTATTAAGCCAGTAATAGGATAAAGAATGACGAGAAATGCTGTAGTTATTACTTCTTAAAATAAAATTACGAATTAATAATTGAAGTCGATAAAAGATATGAAGGTAAATTTTTCTTTTAATGATTGATATACTATTATAATATAGCAAAACAAAAAGTGAAGAATAGAATGATTTACTGTGGGCAATGGTAGGTAAGAAATATCGTGGGCAGTTTCGATTTCATTAAGGTAAATGCATTCTATTTACGTTCAGGAAAAATGTGGGCGACTAACCTTTAATAAGACTAGTATCGAAAGCTTATGTATCGGCTTTCATAACTTTCCTTGTCGAATTAATTTAGAATCACTTTCAATTCCGGTCATGATCAAGTTACATACACTCATCTGGAACTGTTTCTTTCGCTCTTGACCTTGGTAATGAAACTGTTTTGTTAAAAAGATACAAAAGGACGTAATTACTTAAGATTGAAACAACTTTTAACTGTTTTTTCTTTTTTGAGAAATAATCAAATAATGAATGAAACAAATAATTACGTTTTGCGAATTTATTTAGCCTAACTCGAACAGTTCGTTTAAACTTCTATAAACATCTTCTTACCTATTAGTCCTTTATAAATAATGTGAGTTTGTATGTTTATTATACAAGAGGTACAGACAAGGGCATAGGGTACCTTTTATCCAGAAACAGAATACTCTTTACGAGGTACAGAAAAATTAGTTTTATGTGGTCGTCGATGATTTTTAACACGTATTTAGGACCTCAACTCAAGCAAAGCCGAGGGTAAAATCTATCATGAAATTTTGTACACACGTTATCAGGGGTGCAGAAAAGGACATAGAGTATCTTTTATATAGAAAGAGATACTGTTCCCTGGGGGATAGAAAAATTAGTTTTATGTGGTCGTCGATGATCTTTAACACGTATTTAGGACCCCAACTCAAGCAAAGCCGAGGGTAAAATCTGTCATGAAATTTTGTACACACGTTATCAGGGGTGCAGAAAAGGACATAAGGTATCTTTTATATAGAAAGAGATACTGTTCCCCGAGGGATAGAAAAATTAGTTTTATGTGGTCTTCGATGATCTTTAATTCGTAATTAGGACATCAACGCGAATAAAGTCGCGGATAAAAACTTCTTTACTTATATTTTATTATTAAAAATACAGAAAGACGTAATAGAGAAGCTGAAGTAACAGAGTAATAACACCAGTTCAAATTTCATTCATTATAAAATTAATAGAAAGTACATATTGTAATTTTCTTTATAGTGAAATTCGGTTATAATACGCAGTTTTAAGAGTCAATACTGTCAATTAAAATGCATTATCATTGTAATTTAAAGCTTAAAGAATATATCACCATACTGTATTAATGTATATTAAAACAAAATTATGAAACCGTTTCTAGAAATACTTGTACACTTTTTAAATTATACATTTAAGGAATTGTTTTTTTTTTTATATTTCAAAAATATCTAAATATTACTCCTTAAAGTTTGCATTTATTTTTCATAAATAAACTTTTCTCTATTACGAATTTGTCTTTCTTGTAACAGTTCACCATAAATTCGTTGAAACAAATTCATGTTCTTAATACGTACGTACCTATTCATGTATATAAAATCCATGGTCAATAGGTACGAGTATAATAATTGTTTGCCTTTCTGATACATAAATATACAATATTTCTTGATTGATTTATTTTTCTGAGGTAAGTATTGATTTTAAATGCTATCTTGTTTCGGGTCTAAGGACCGTCGTCGGTTGGAGTGGCGAACTTCTCCTAAGGTCGATCCTTCCATCTCCGATGCTGGATGTAAACTGTCAGACCCGAATCAGCCCAACATAAGTACATGATATACTTAAAATATGTTCATTATTTCTTAAATACCTTCGCAGTTCGTTATAACCGAACATTTGCTTATATAGAGCCAAAAATATACACAAATAGGACATTTGTCGCTACAGCCGAATGCTCGCTGCACCCCCTGCTCTTTATAAACGAATGCTGTTGTAATTTATTTGTAACCGCCTGTAAGCTATTCTTATTATTTTTTATTGTCGTATTTAGAACTGTACCTACTAATTAATACTGAACTACCATGATTTTTATGTGGCGCATTTAGAAATACTTATCACATTTTATGGCTTCTGGTGTTGAATAACAAATTTAGCAATTAATGCAAATCGTTTTACGAAAGAATGCAAATTTACCAGAAACATTTATTAATAGCGGAGGTGGAATACATGACATGACCTGAAAATTTAGTGGAACTGTCATGTTTTTCGCACAGTTTATTTGTATTTTATGCAGATGTGGTAACATTATGTAAGTTATACTGTGTCTATACGGAATTCAGGTTGGTTTAGCGTATTTTATTAGCATAAGAAGCAACGTTTGGGTTGAGACCATTACCACATTTGTCTCTTTTATGATACAACATAGTAAAACATCACTTTAATTATTTCTGAAATATATATAAAATAAACCGTTACTTTTAATTCATTTCCTATAGTCAAGTAAATCTAAAAAAATTTTTGATTTATGCCTACAAAAATCTATAATACCAATGTAGACTTAAGAGAATAATTAATCGATCGATAATAAAAGCTTCTAATAATTTTTTATTATTAATTTGTAAAAAATTTTTACTTAAAAGAC